CCGCGCCCGCCGCCGCCATCTTCCGCCCGGGTGCGGGAAGGGTCGCGGGGCCGGGCGCCCTCCCGGCGGGGACGCGCCGAGCCTCTGGGCTCCGCTACCGCAGGAACCCGGCGCGGGGCACGGGGCTCTGCGCACCCAGCCCCGGGACGTGCGAGGGGGAGGTCCTGACCCGGACTAGGGGCAGCGCTGGCCGAGAGGACAGGCGTGACAGGGATCGGGCAGTCGGGTCCTCGGAAGGGGCGAGAGGGCCAGGGGGCAGGAAACCTGCGCAGCCCCCGCTCCCGCGGTTTGGGGCAGCAGGGACAAGAAGGGCACCTCGGAAGGAGGGAACCAGAAGGTTCAGATTCCCTGTGGTGCACCCGCCACCCCCCGGGCCCCAGTCTCCCCACATACGTGGGCCTAGTCGCAGGGTTCCAACTGAAAAGAGGGCCCCTCTGACCCCCACCCCCACCCCAGCTGGACGGGCGCTACTTTGTCTCGGGACCCTGAGCACCACTGCAGGGACCGTACCTCTCCAGGCCTGCCTGGGGGTTTGGATCCTTTCGGCTTTCCCGACCGAGGTGTTTCGTTTCTGGCCCACCCCCACCCCCATCCGGCGCACGCGGAAGAGAGGAGCATTTTCCGGGAGGTTCAACTCGGCTCAGAACTTCGCGTTCAGAAAGAGCGATCGCCTTTGGCTAACAGGAAACTGGGAAGGGCGTGGAAGGAGCGCAGAAACAAGAGAGGACACGCAGCGCTGGGCGACAGAATGCTACAGAAATGTCTAAGGTGAAGCGCTAACCGAGACTGTCTGGAAGAAAACAATGCACCCGAACCATCTGAACACCAGTGTCCGAACACACACACATGCACGCTGGAAATCCTGAGACAGCCACTCCCGAACTCGGACTACCGCAGGAAGAAATGGCATCCACAAGGCTGTAGCCACCACTCAGGACACGTCCCTAGCCTGCTGGTTTTGCGGGCATTTGGAACAGCAGCCTTCGTGCGGGTAGTTCTTGCTCAACATCAAAGGGCCTCTGCAGATGGGAAGCACTGGGGAGAAGATACTCAAATGAGGAATACCTCGTTATCCCAAAAACTCCAAAATGGTGTCAGCTGTGTTTTAAATAGTGTTAAAAATTCCCTGCCAGACTAGAATCACTTCACCTGGCTAAAGCATTCCATTTCTTGTCTCTGCCCTTCAATACTCATTCCTTTCCTATTCAGTTGATTTGGCCTTTGAATTTCCTCCACACCAAGATTCTGGGTATTTTTTTTCCTAGTTGCAGTCTTATTCCCAAAACAATTTGATTTCTGTGTTACAGCTGACAGTTCTAATAAAAATTTTTAAGAAGAAACAGTATGCAATCCTAATAGTGCACATTACACTGTAGATTAAGTTCTTTAAAATGTAAATATGCTGCTTAGTTTAAATCTTCCAAGACAGGAGACTGCTGCCATAGATACAACAAGGACTTCCTCCCAGCTACACTTGTCTTCTTTAGCAAAGGATGGAGCGAGACAAAACGAACTTGAACTGTTCTTATGGCCTATAAATATGTCATTCTATATGTACACGAACATGTGGCTGGGAATTTCTGTTTTTAAACAAGAAAAATAATCAAAATACTGGCCTTCATCCCCAACTGGCTGTTTGGTCACCAAGAAGTCTAATGTTAAAATGTAAAAAAAAAGTAAATGTAATGTAAAAAAGACACCTACTGAGATGATAAAACTGACACCTACTATGGTGTCTTAAAAAAATAACCTTAGTCCTTTTGCTTAAAGACATAGAGGCACAAAATCAAAATTGGAATCAAAGTCAAAATCATGTTATTACTATTCTAATGGTATACTTACTGCACTACGTAATAAATCATTTTCTCAGTTATTGTATATTTGTACTCATTTTATGCTTTCAAGTTTTATATGACAACATTTTCCAGAATCCACACAAAGAGTGCTTAAACTAAAAGGCCAGTCCTATTTTGTGATAGTAGGAAGAAGGGTATGGACCACATTTCTCATTCTTTGATTCAAATACTAATTGCTTAAAGATACTTTAAATCAGTTTCATATCCAGGAACTGGACAATACCTCAAAGTAAAAATACTCATTACTTATAAAGATTTAACCTCACTGGGGTAGTGGTGCATGCCTATAATCCCAGCACTCAGGAAGCTGAGGCTAGACACACTCAAGGACAGCCTGGGCCACAAAGTGAGTTCAAGGCCAGCCTGACTACAAAGTGAGACCCTGTTTCCAAAAAAAAAGAAAAAAAAAAAAAACAACAAACTTAACGGTACAGCCAGCTCTATTATTCAGAGCTCCTGTGAAAAGTTCTAAAACTTAGTTTGGGACTTTGAAAGCAAAACCAGTCCTAGCTTGCTTGTGGTAAATAAATGATGGCTACTCTCACACTTTTTCTAATACACAGAAAACTCAGGATTTAAATATTGTGCTGGCAAATAAGGGAAAGCCTTCACTGACTCCCACAAAAGGCAGCTCATGGGCCAGGGATATAGCTCAGAAGCACAGTGACTGCTTGGCAAGTGTGAAGTTGTGAGTTTGAGTCCCCATAACCCCCTCCTCAAAAAAAAAAAAAAGGCAGCTCATGAAAAACTTGCTTCAGTATCTCCTCTGAGGGTGTTTCAAGGATCTCTAATTTAAGGTACTTAACCTATTAGCTTCTTGTTACGTCTTGGCTATAAATGATAAGTTTCTGAAATGAATATCCAACCTGTATAGTGAGTATCTGCAATGTATTTCACTTTTCTTAAAACTATTTATAGGAATATCAAGGTCTCAATATTTTCAACAATGTTATGGAGCTCAAAATGGCAAGTGAAACAAATTTCAAGTATGTGATATATTACCTTATGTATCTGATTTATAAGATTTCTTTGACCTTTTCCTTATTTATTGCTCAAATTTTCAAAACATTTCTTATATGCCTCTTATATATTTCTTTTATTATTGTTACTTTGAAATCCATTTGGAACATATAACAGAAACACTATTAAAAATCTGGACATAAGCCATATAGACAACTGCATTCTGTATGAAATGGAACTAGATGAAGCTGCCCCTTAATTAGGTTTCTACTTAATAAGGTTTCCTGTCCTATTAAATAAAAAAATTATACTGACATGCTTAAGTCAGCCAAATATGCTGATACCAACTTTATGAATATTAGTACATCATTATCTAGAGGTATTTTTAAATTGCTGTATATTCTTACCGATCACTATTCATAGCAAGAGGAATAACATCCACATGCAACTTTTGAACCCACATGTTCCATAGTTTTGCCTCACATATGCACAAACACACAGAACATTACATTTTACACCCTGAAGATCACACTTTTAAAACAGTCACAGAGCTGCAAATGTAACTCAGTGTTACAGTGTTTCACTAGCTTATGCAAAGCCCCAGGTTTAATCCCAGTGAGGCCAAAAAGAAAAAATCCCGTTCATATACTATTCCAATCAGGAAGGAAATATGCAAAGAATAATGCAGGGTAAACACGTACAGGCCTGGAAGACTGCTTTCACTAAAACTTGAAGGCTATTTTCATAACATACTATGTGCTACATATTCAAAATTTAACATTCAAAACTAACCCTATTAAAATTTGATTAGTTTTTACCTGAATGAAAGAGCTTGAGATAGTTGTGTAGTCAACTACACACCTACAGTCGTCCTTGCACATGAGGCAAAAAAAGGGTACATCAACTAAACATAATGCATAACTACATTTACAACCACTAATTTACATTTTGGCCATTCTTCCTTTGAAACCCTTCCCCTCTCAATTTTACTTCAATTCTAGCATCTCCCCACTAAGAACTATTTTGTAAATACTACATTTTTAGCTAGAATTCTACTACCTACCCCCTCAATTCCAGGCTATCATTGTGAGTATGGATTGTTTGGCCATCCAAACACGCCAAGCAGGTAGCACATGCCTGGAATCCAAGCACACAGGAGGCTGCAAGAGGACCTGGAGTTCAAGGCCAGCCTGGACTACATCGTGAGACCTTGTCTCAAAAATTCAAACAAAACAAAAACAAAAAACAAAAAAAAATTGATTGATTAGGAATTTAGGTAATGCCTCCATTTCCACTGAGACTTGAACACATTTCGAAATCACCATTAAAGAAAATACACAAACTTAAATGCTAATACTTAACCTCTTTAGACCCAGTCCATAGCCAGAGTAATGATAAATTTAAGTGCTCCCATTTAAATAAATAACTTCATTTTATTCCAACACAAAGACTGGCAGGAAGTCCTAGTAACTGCCTCTCAGCTCCAGACCTGAGTATATCTTAGACACGAAGTACTGCTTTCTGTACACTTAGCCAAATCATTTCCCAAGAGCTCTTATTTTGTCTTAGTAGCAGACTCATACCCATTTTAGGGTCCATTCAAAAAAGTATGAGAAAAAAAAGAATGAAGAATTATCTTTTCATGTATGCTGTTATGTGCCCTAAGGGATATTACAACAAAATCTGTGTGATATTAGTATCACTTATTCAATACTAAATATTCACTTTTATAGATGAGCACACTTTAGGTACTAAATTGCTTATATCTGAATTTTAAAAGCAGATTTTCCTAGAAGGTACAGTTTTGGAGATGGGGAAGGGGTAGGGACAGGTGCAGGAAAAGAAAGGGAGTTAACAGGATTGAAATTAATCATGGTATGTTAAATGCATGTACCAGTTTCCCAACACCAACCTCACCATTCTCTATCACTAACATGTGCTAGTTTAAAAAAAAAAAAAAAAGACATTTTAAGTGACTTAGAAATGAAGTCTAATTGAAAGCAAGTATTCTTAACCTTAATTCTTTGAGGGTCCACACATTAGTCCTCAGGAAATCTGTGATTCCCCTGAAACTGTGCTCAAGAGTATGCATATAAGATAGTGGGTTCATAAGGTTATATTGGCTAGTGATGTCACAGCCATCTTAGTTTGTGCCAGTACTCTGTGACATTCCCACAGTGACAAAACCGACAATACATTTCTCAGAACTTGTCCCATCATTAAATGACACATGATTGTGTCATATAGGTGCATTTTTTTAAGGAAAGAGTACACAGTTTCAATCAGATTCTTAGAGGGATCACTGACCCAAACAAAGATCGAAAACCCAATTTTGTTTCTTCAACCCATTTAAATTAAGCTGTTGTTTCCCCTTGCTCCCCATAACTGAACTATTTAACATTTAAACACTCTTTCTTCCCTAAAACAGTCTTCCTTTTTCTTGTACACGGCATTTTTTGGTCATCTGGAAAACTTGTTTTTCTTAAGAACTTAAGTGAGAATTCTTCAGTTCTTAAATGAACTCTGTGGTCATTACATGTATGACCATAGGGTTTCAAATAAAATCAACTGTGAAAAGTGCCTTTTTTATGCCACATACTTGAGCTCTCAGGCCACGTTTTTTGGGCTGTTTTAGTGAAGCACATAAGCTTTAACTGCTACCCAACAGTCCCAGGACATAATAAGTGTTGGATAAAAATATCGGCTGACCAAATAAAAAAAGTGTTTTCAGTGTTTAAAGAAAATGAATGTAATTTTAAAAAGAGTTCTATATTTCGGATAAAGTGTCAATTCACTCACACATTTGTCCGGGTTCTACTTTTAAAAGCTCCAGTGGTGATGCTGGTAGTAGATATTTTCTGTGGAAAATAAATGAGTAGTTTTGTTATTATCACTGTCAGAAATAAAGGAGTGGAAGAGTTTTTAATCTAATTTTCTGGGCATAGAGTAGTTCTGGCATCAGCACCCTAAAGGAACACACTATATATAACTGGGTATTTCCCATTGTGAGTGGTGCTGGCTTGCAGAACTCCGGTTCACAAAGGACTTCATACAGGAAAGTTCAAAACAGGTCACCAGATTTAATTCTCAATGATCCTTAATTGAAATATCAAAACTGAATTGACTGCTTAATTTCAAGAATAACTTACTCCCCAATGAGGAGACACAGCTAAAGCTGTAGGAGCAGATGGAAGAACTAACATGTTGAAACTCACAGAAGCAAGGGCAGCCGCAGATGCAGATGGATGAGAGGTGAAGGTCACTTCTCAGAGGTCAGGAAACAGGAGGTAGAGAAATCCACCCTGGGCAAAGGGGCTGGAAGCGCACATAGAAAAGAAAAAGGAGAACCAGCCTGGCACCTGACCCAGAAGCTCTCAACAGGCCGGCCTCAGCGAAATCGCGGAGCTCCTGAGCAAAACAGCATCCGAACTCCTAGCGCGAGACACGGATGAGGCCAGAAATTTCAGACGGGGCTCTCCGGACCGGTTCAGAACTCCAGTGGAGACGGCGCGGCAAGCGTCGAGGCAGGGCATGGACAGCCACAGGGTACCCCGATGGATGACAGCGGTATGAGACGGGGATTCCGGGGTGGAGTTCCCGCAGGGACGCGGGAGGATCGCGTCGAAGAGATCGGTTTAAGGAGCCTGGGCAAACCATTCCGAAGACCCTCGGCCTCGTCTTCCTCCTCCTCACACACACAGGGCACTCGCACCCTCTACTCTCGGCCTCAAACGACTCAACCTCCGCGCTGCGCGTGCGGCGAAACCCCCAGCGAACGCGAAGTTAGCGTCTCGCTCCACCCCGGGCAGACCGCAGGCCCCTCGGCGAGCCGGGGCTGCGACGGCCGCCGGCCGGGGCGGGG